AACACGTACGTGCAAAAGGATTCGCACTGAATGCGAAGGAGTCATGGGAGCCTAGGTAGGTGACATTCCCATAGGATCGGCCACATAGTTCGGCATGGCCATTGCACACTGTCGCTCTGCAATTACGGTGGTGCCGTGAGTGGTAGAAATAGCATAACTGAAACGGCATGAAGCACCTCTTAGTCCAGGACCATGGAAGCCATGCTCCCATCGCAAGCGAGGGTGCAGCACAGAGAACAGAGAGTAAGATCAGGCCAAGATAGGTGCGCATTGGTGCAGGCTCGAACTCCTCGAATCAATTTGGCATCCAGTTTTTATGCTCCATGACCAGATGGCCGAAGGCTGTCCCGCTGCAAAAGAAGCCATGGAAGGCAAGGAAACCATTCGCGATGACCCTCGGTGACATGTGGTGCCGTCGTCGACGTCGCACGTTGTGGTCGGGGTCCATATGGTCTCCGTGTTTGTTTTGTCAAATTTGATGGCCTTCACTCCGTCCTCTTCTCCGACATCCATTTTCACAACCATGATGGACCTCTTGGAGTTCTGGCTAGTTCTTGCTTAGCTTATTTTCTAAATCACTGTCATTCAGCCTCTGGACATTAGAAACTTGCTGTACATATTTCTGAGTGCCAATAGTGTCAACAACTATCTCATTGAAGCACAGGATGACCACCTTAGTTCCGCTGGGTCGTATCTATGGCAGATGCGAAATATATCTCGACATCTATTCGCGCGTTCTCAATTGATATTAGGTCTTCTGGGCTGACACGTGTTTATAATAATAGAATCAGCAATGCATGCAAAGCACCGACCTTCACATCGGAAACAACCCATCCAATGCCTCCGACTCATCTGCTATAGCACTTTTTCGATTTACATATGCTCCTACCGCCCTCTTGGTATTTATGGTCGAGGATTTCCTTGACACAGTTCTCTTTAATCCATGGTAAGTTATTCGGAGGCCGTAGGCTTCTCAGATGGATGTTGAATCACGCGCTGATGCATCTTTATTTTACTATCAGACCGAACGTATGCTACGGCTACATAGACCCGTGTTCACGACGCTATTCGAACAGATTTGTCGAGGCCCACGAGTTTTTACTCTGAGTCAATACAAACCTCCTGGAGTGTACATATATCCTACATTGCGACGATCGTGTAAGTAACGACAGGCAAAGGCGTACGCTCCTGCCGAATAGGATATTCAAGAAAAGCTGTTCCAATCCAGCAGCCTAATGTATAGTCCGGCCATGCGCAACTCGGTCGTAGATTATGTTGCTAGTTCTAGTGGGCTCTTCCACACACCCAAGGGCTACTTGATCTGACTGCCGCAGTCATAACACGAATATCTACGAGTGTCTTGGTTCAACGGGGCGTGGGATCATAGCCGCATCTCAACTTCTATGTACCCAGTCAAGGCCATATATATTGATTAAATCATCTAGGTCGCGAGAAGTCACATCTATCGGGTGGCGTGTAAAATATTCTGATATTGTTCAGTGAGGAATCTGAAATCGGAGGTGCCCTTGTCCGTCAGCGACTTTGTCAACTCATCCAAATAATGTTTCATTTCGCTGACGTGGGGCCCTTGAGATCTGAAACCATAGTGCAGGTCAAACCGTCCCGACTTGGCGCGACCCTCAACCATACTCACGAATTCGCTGGGAGAAACAATACAATCACTGAGCACTAGGGTCTCCAACTCAGGGCAGAGCTGATGCCTTTGGGCGTCCATCGCCGCAAGGGCGTTGATAGTTTCCCCTGTTATGGCGTGTTGACGGAATTGTGGGGGCAAGGAAGAGGATATGCTGGATTGGACGACGAAGGTTCTCAAGGTCTCGCACTTCGTCAGGGATAGACAGGAAATGATCTCCGACTCTTTCGGATAGACATCCTTGAGGACAAGACTATCAAGTTCGCAACCCGAATTTCGCACTAGCTGACAGAGACCCAAGTCCTCCTCCCGAGAGAACTGGCCGTGTGGGCCAAGGAGTTTGAAGTCGATCAAGTTGGGCAACCTAATCGTTGTCAACAGTGGTCCAGGGTGAACAGAGGTATTGATGGTCAGGAGTTCGATAGGGGAACTGCACGTTAGCAGATTTCCAGACGGCAAACCTGGTCCCAACTTGACTTTAAAGTGGCGAAGCGAGGTAGCTTCTGCGATGATATAGCGGCACATGCCGATATTGACTGGCGATTCGAGTTCGATGCATGTCAAGGTCGTCTTGTTCTGTTTAAAATTTATCATCACTGCATCGGATAGCCTAGGGGGCGGCACAGGCGGAGCAAGGGATATCTGGGTGTCGTCGTCTTCGAAATGTGCTCGCTTCTTATTTTCCTGTTCCGGAGTTTTTGGAATGAAAGGGAGGCTGTTATGGGCAGAGCCATCGTCATGGTCCAGAATAACCCGACCTGAGCCGGGCACCCATTCAGATATGTCTTGGTGATGTGCTGAACTTGAAGAATCTGTTACAGGAATCCTTTGGGCTTCGTCTTTCGGGGCTGCCAACACCGAATAGCTTTGGCGAGGTGACTCTTTGGGCGGTTCCTTTAGGCGGGTCCTATGGCGGTCGTCCTTAAGAGGTTTCGGTGCTAGAGCTTTAGGAGAGAGTTTTTGAGGGGATGAATGTCCTTTTGGCGAACGGGATACTGAAGAACCATCGGTCGGGATCGGAGGGAGATCGCGGTCTTTATCTCTCAAGGAACTTCGCTCGTGCGCTGGAGAATCAACCTTGTTTATAGGGCGAGCTGCAGATGTATCTGTTATGTGCGTCTTGTGGTGCCTAGACGAGGAGCCAGTTGACGGAGCGGGGTTTCTACTGTGCTCAGGCGCCTGGCCGTGAAACATCATAGGAGGCGGCATTTGCGAACGGTTCTTTGCGAACGATTTCGTGCGGTTTCTCGGATGATGTTCTGGAGATTTATTCCCTCGAGTAGTGGACGAAGATGTATTTTGTCTCGATGAGAGAGGTATACCGTCTTCAGGAACATCAGTGAGAACATGTTCCACTGGATAATCGACGGAGGCTTCGGTATTCTGTTCTGACGCGACGTAGTATGGTCGTTGGCCACTCTGCATCCACTGGAGAGCATTGGGGTCCAAGATAGGTGTGATGGTGCACATGAGCGTCACCGGAAACTGACAGACATTTCCAGGGAAGTTCATCGCCTGCGAATTAACAAAGACGGGATGGGTCATGTGTGTAAAGATGTCAAAGCCTGAGTAGACTATGACAGTATAAGCGTTTAGAGTTCGTTATGAAAAGAGGGGGGCTTACGGGAGCAGAAGCAGACTAAGCCCGAAAGACAGAATGTCGATATAGAATCGAGCGAACTATATAAATCAGCACAAGAGGTAATGTAATGCATGTAAGAAGCCCATTGGCTTTTGAATGAACGAGTACAATACATGTTGCTGTGGCCATCGTCGCATAGACAACAACATACACATCTACGTTGACAACGCACCGCCAACCCAGGCTGAGGGGACTTGAAACTTGAGAGACAAGGCGGCGGGAGTTACCAGTGGGTGGGCCTTTGGAACAAAAGCGACGACAAGGTGGGAGAGAGTGGACACACACAAAGCTATTCGTTCAGATGTACATAAGAATTGCAAAGTATGTAAGAGATCTGGGTTTCTTTCAGAGAAACGACAAAACGAGTGGTTGGAATTGGAACAAAAGCAAATGGGCTCCGCTCCCGGGCCGCCCATTGCATTCCTGTCACGTGAGGTGACACCATTCTCGAGCTACATACTACTATGTCCAATGTCGCAAACTATTCAGCTGGAGTAGTATCATTCCGGAGTTCTCAGACAGTCCTGCTGAGCGAGTTGGTTCTCGCCATTGCACGAGGATCCTCCAGTAAATACTGTCTCTGCTTTCTCATGAGATCTGCACCTAGTATCTTCGCTTTTCTGTTCAAGCCCTTGATAACGACAGGACCCCATATACAATGCTGCGCTCTCCACCTTTTTTAAATATCTTTACAGACAGGCTCTGGCTTTGAGTTGCCAACGACCTATTGGGGCCGATACCTTGTCCGAGACCGTTCACATCGACAGACAACTACGGGGAAAGTTTTTCCTTTTTCGTCTATAATCTTCGGGTATTTATTTCCAATTCCCAATGTATGTTCGTTGCTTGCGCTTTTATTTATTTTCCGATCCCTTGATGTAGGTCAATATATCCCAGCGACGATGGATTTGACAATCAGAAGTAGGGAGGCCCTTCTTCGGAATATCAATGGCGCCCTCGGATTGATACTTGAAACAACTTGCACAGTGCACCGACGCCTCGACACCCCACCACTCGGGCTACACTACGATCTGTGTTGCGAGGACTGAATATGTTAGGCCGGGTCGGCTGCCGGAATTAGAATCACTCATGTTTTAGTCTGCTTCGACAATCGCGAGCAGCACCTGGAGAGGGTGACATTGCGTTCCACCATTTAGTCAATACGTTAACCTGCTTTTCGGCGTTGTCGATACCGGCTCATTGTGTCATTTCGGTGGTCTCACCGTTGTACCATGGCGTGAGGAGGTGGATGTCAACTTTTTGGGAGGAGATGCAGGTGAGGCCCAGGATATCGTTAGAGGCCGTAAGGAGTCGATGGAGGCTGGTGGGGGATGTGTAGAATCCGCGCCCACCTTCAAGCTCATCGATCCGGGTCGACCTCCACGGCCCCATCCCGGCTTCTTCCCATTCACCGAACGCGGGCCCTCTTCTTCGGAAGTAGGCCTTCCCGTTGGAGCTCGGATTTTTCCTCGATCGAGTAACATTGTGCAGCGTCCGTTGACCATTATTCCCAACGCCATTCTCGCTCTCAGGATGTTCTCGTTGTACCGACCTCTGTATTTTCCGTCTTTATATCTTTCCGGTGTACAGGCCGGCGTCGGAACTCAGGATTTTAATTTCTGCTTCGGGAATGTATATGATGGCGCCTCGCTTCCCCCTGGCCGCCTCCCCCGTCATTAGTATTCATCTTAACGCTTATTTCATGGGCGTTTAGCGCAGTGGTAGCGCGTGTGCTTTGCATGCCTGACCGGTTTGCACAAGGTCCAGGGTTCAATCCCCTGAACGTCCAGCGAAACTTTTCTCCATGTGGACAGGCAGGTACCATTTTGCCCAGAGCTCACCTTCAAGCTCAGAATCGTTCAGAAAGAAAAAGTGGGTCGGATCTCTGGCCTGGCCATCCATCAAAATCACGCGGCTCTGATATCTTCCTGATGGGTACAACGTGCCATGTTAGCTTCCTTTTCCACTGACGTCTTGCATGGAATGAACCTTCTGCTGTCGTAAGTACCTGATGAACGCAGGGAAGTTACAGAGCCCGCAGTGGTGACAACCTATTGATGGAAGGCTCAAATTTCGGTCAATTATTGTACTTTCGTTCGTACTTCTCCTTTGATACTATGAGCGCCTGAGGTAGCCCTAAGACACCACTTACCACCTGAGAACTGTGCATGTGTAGCTGGTACACCCAACGAGGTTCATTTTGACAACGGATTGATGTGGCGTATACCATTTGTAAACTCCCTTCCAATGAGCACATCTGTTGTAAAGCGTGTCATGGTATCACATCGATTATCCGAGATCCTGTATCTGGACATGCGTGTCTGAAGCGCATTGACAGCAAATTCAATGATCTCCCTCAGGCGTGGAAGGAACGCACCACCACCCCGAACGGTAACGAGATCCGCAGGGACGTTGAACGTGCTCCTAGTGCTCGAGCTGTGGGTGAGCATCGGGGTTGTGCAGTAATGTCTTGAGTGGATGCATAAAGTTCCGCCCGACAGGACGTCTCCCACAATCAAGGAGGGCAGGTAGAAGGGGACCAGGGCACACATCAAACACGCATGCTTTGAGGGCAACAAGATGCTTGGAATGATTTTTTCCTTGCTTCATAAGTATGTACTCGAGGATTCTGAGCGAACTTGGGAGCAAAGGGTGAGCTATAAGATTGCAACATTCCCCCGAGGTCAAGTCTTAGGGCCACGAAGTAGAGAAAAGGATCTAACACGTACCAAATACAGCAAGGCCGTTGTTACAAGGTGGCCGCCGTGTGCTTGAGATACTGGTGAAGAATATTTGATGAAGCTCATAGCTAAAGACACGAGGTCGGTCGGACCGCCTAAGACGAATGACCATTGCGCTTTTCGACATTCCAGAGATTTGTGGCAGCAGCTCGTCGGACCACAGCAAGGGAACACAAAGTAGAAGCACACTGATGAAAACAGAAATTGCAAAACTTCTCAACCTTATGAGACATAGCAAACATTTTACCCAGGATCAGAGATAGGAAACCCACTAGATTCCTACCGATCGGGAAGGTAACGAGCAACAACCACTGCAAGGATAGAGATTTTCAGAGAAGTTTCAGTCGATTTTCAGAGAGCGTAGGCAATACAACCTTTGGTGGTTACTGATGCGAATCCAATTGAACCCAGCTGAGGCCGAGTAGTTCAAGTGGGGCAGGCCACAGTTGGAGACGGTGGCACGAATTAACGCCAAATCGAACGGCAGAGCTTAATTTTGATTTCCGTGATTAGTCATACATTTTACCGATAATAGCCGGTTGATGTGTTGAACAAATTCTGGCTCGGTGATGACGGCATTGGTTGGTTGGCCAGTACTCTTCTCCACCAAAACTTTCTTCGACCCGCAGTCGTGCTGCTCACCGCCATCTCGACGATGACTTGCAAGCGGGATGAACTACCGTAAACATGAGCACTCCCACAATAATGAGGAGTTCCAAGAGGAAGAGCAGACAAGGGGGAGCTTTGTGTTTTGACCCCCCGGTATTTACTATGCCGTTTCATAAGCTCGCGACAAATACTCAGACGCCGCCAGCTCGTTTATGATAGTCCAGTGGCTCGCGCAGGAAAGAGAACGGGCACCGTAGACGCCGCCTTTGTGTTTCCGTGAGTTTCTACCTGAAAACACTTATCAGAGATCTGGCTTACCTGTCCACTATCCAGTGTCTCAAAAACATGTCCTGCCTACTCGCCGCTGCCAAATTGGCGTATTAGTCTATATCTGGTCAAGGAGGGAACAACTATCCCGGAGCAAGTTTATTCGCTATTTCTGCTACTCAATATACAACTGAACTCGTTCCCGTGTAGCTCCTCATCCGACTGCGCGCCGGCCAGTGTACCAAGAACACGTATATAGAGCGGCCCATCTCTCCGACGACGACGACCAGCCAGTTCGCTGACCCCTGACGATCTTCCAATCATACTACCTTCGAGGCGGGCCACAAGCAAGCACTGCGGTTGACTTACGGGAACGTCAAGCTACACCGTGAAGGTATGCACCTGGAGTCTATCTCAGGGCCTACCTGCCCAAGATGTCCACCAGTAGACCACCTTCGTCCTTGTGTCAATGTAAATAAAGATTCGATAGTAGTGCTGCAGTTGGCAATCGTTGGACGGCAATATGTCTGGTCGTGTGGAACCTTCGATCAAATGGGAGAGGTGGGGTTGATTCCGCATCTCTAGTGGCGAGTGGGTAAACATGTACGGATTTTCTTATCCTTTGATGCTCCCGAGCTCGTCGTAACGACCAGGTCCATCACCACCGCACCTCCTACACGGGCATTACGCCTTTACGTGGAAGCTACGTCTGGATGCGAAAGGTTACACGCGAAGGTAAGTCAATCATTTTTACACACGTTTTAGTCTGCGTGCTACTGATCAGCCAACAGTTCTTCGTTCTAGCGAGCTTCTAAAAGCGCAGCGATCGACCGACGACAAGATCTTCAAGTCGATTTGAAGTCCTTGACGTAGTAGTAGCCTGTAGTTCATGCCGCTATTATAGGGTAAGCACTTGTATCGTCATTTTTTCAGGTTCCCGGGCTGACGATCGCCTCTAGCGTTAGCTGATACCTATCGCCAGGGTTTGAAAGGCATGTCTGCGGGGGCGGGAGGGAGCTGTACATGAGTAGGTCCAACCGCAGGCACGATCTATGTATCTTCTATCGTATTCCTTTGAGTTATGTCTAAACTCGTGATCTCAACCAGCACCATAACCGATGTCATCAACATGGAGCTGGGGCAGAAGACCTACTGGTTGATCTGTGGATGAACAAGATATGTTTGTTTGATTGATCGCGGACTTCAGAGTGGTACGTACTTGTCTCGTATTTCATGGCGGCGAAGGCTAACGACGACATAGAATTTACCAATACATAGCAGCCACTATGGGGCCTACATGCAATCCTTGAATAGAGATTGCCTGGGATACTTGGGGTCGAGAGGGGCATCCGTGAGGCCCAATACATGCTGTCAGTGTAAACATGAAAATCGTAGTTGACACCTATGTTTTTTCATGAGTGAATCCTGCCAAAAACTCGATTACAAAATCGAGGAGCTTGGGGAAAACAAGAACTTCGCCGATATTTGTCCGACGGTACGGATCGGGGTCCGTTCAATTTCCGCACTGAAACGACTTCCAAAGTTTGAACGGTGAGCACATCTTGCCTTCTATGTTTCGGCTTCAATGTTGCTCTACTGACGTTTGATAGCTCGAACTAGTGCATCCTGGTTCCAAGATTTGTGTCAATGAACCCTTTTTTTTGTCTGTCTATGCCACAGCATGATGGATCTCCTCTCACACACAATCGACGCTTCTACTTGCTGAACGGAGGTACGACTGATGGGGTCTGCCTAGGAGAGACTAGTTCCTTGGCGGTCTGAGTGAACAATAAATCAGCGGCCCGACTCTTCAAGGATGGAGCAATGAGTAGTCCCTATAACCGTTCTACAGTCGCTCTTCTGAGCTATCTTCACGATTGGCCCTTCCTCATCATTCTTCACGCCAAGATCCCTTCGAAAATAGTTTGGACAATTTGAGCGGGTTGTTGGACATGACCCCCGTAAGCTTGCGTAGCTTGAACATGGGTCAACTCTCCTAAATCTGGCGTTACTCCATTAATTCAAAGGCCTAATTGTTCGAAGGCCTGATTGTCCAAAAATTCATAGGCATAACATAAGGTACGTGTATCCATATATGTTGTATCTTGTTGAAGAACGCCCGATTTTATTTAGTTCTTTGCGAACTTGGGAATACATCCCTTGACCACATATTGGCGATGTATGCCACTTTCTGTCATTGTCTAAAGAACGGTCGTCGATTTCCTTGTCACATACCAGGTTTTAAAGAAGACTAACTGATTCCTAGTCCCTATCATTCTTCTCTTGTAGTTCATGCTTCAAACATACTTCAGATACCCTCACGCTCGAAGATACTGGGCTGGCCATTTGCCACGCCATGGTTACAAGGCGCCAATATTGTCAGAACTCATCCTGCAGTCTTCTATTCCAAAGATATGTCAACTGCCTACAGTTTCAACCCCTGTCGTGAGTTTCTTTCCTTCCCTTCCTTGACATGTCACTTCATCTCCACCTGCTAGTAAGTGAGGGTGGCACTGATTTTATAGAAAGGTTTCGTGGAACCATGTAAATCATACGAGGTAGCATTCTAGGTCTAACTTCATTTTGCTAGCTCACCAATGCCGGCTTCGCTCATTAAGGTTCAAAAAACTAGTGCGATCCAACTTACCTTTCTTGAAAAGTCAACTGCATCCGAAACGTTCTGAATGACAAGTATGTCTTTGACACGTCCCATTGCACGCACGTCCTGACTCCCAGCATTCAGCGTTATGGACTTTAGAGGGAGTCTCGCTCCTATAAGAAGCGCCTCCAATGGTCGACGTTCTTTACTTCAAGAAATCTAGCAATTCATCTTTCAATTGAACTTCCAACTCATCCTTATATTATTTCACTATGGCCGATGGCGGTGATGGCAAAGGAACTGGTGCCAACTTCAACCCTGTCAAGCGGACTGCCGAAATCTCATGGCAGATTAGGGAGGCCATTCGCGCGGCATTACCTGCGCCTCGCGAACAGTTTTTCACTGTCATGGTCCCCGGAAAAGTCGTAAATTTTGCGGTAAGTTCGCACAACTGTGTACTTGGCAACGAAACCTACACAAATATCCAGGACTACTCGGAAGGCTTTGACTCGGATGGAAACCAGACTGCTCCCATCCTGCCCACCGTCACTGAGCTCAATCAGGCCATACTCT